CCTGACTGGCGTGGTAGCTCACGCCTGTAATTCCAACAGTATGGGAGGCCAAATCAGAAGGATCATTTGAGGCCAGGAGTTAGAGATGAGCATGAGCAACAAAGCAAAATTCTGTCTCTACAAAAAATAAAAAATATTAGTGGAGTGTGGTTGGCCAGGCCTGTGGTCAGAGCTGCCTTTGGGTTAGGGAGCCTGAGTGGGGAGGATCGCTTGAGCTCAGGAGTTTGAAGCTGCAGTGAGCCGAGATCGTGCCACCGCACTCCAGCCTGGGCAACAAAGCAAGACCTTTTATCTAACAAATAAAAATAAGGGCCACCGCCGTGGCTCACGCCTGTAATCCCCCTAGCTCTTTGGGGGGCCAACGCGAGAGGATCACGAGATCAAGAGTTCGAGACCACTGTGGCCAACATGGTGAAACCCCATCTCTACTATTAATACAAAAATTAACCCAGTGTGGTGGCGTGTGCCTGTAATCCCAGCTTCTCTGGAGGCTGAAGCAGAATTGCTTGAACAGGGAGGCGGAGGTTGCAGTGAGCCAATATCGCATCACTGGACTCCAGCCTGGGCGACACAGCTAGACTCTCTCTCGGAAAAAAATAATAATAATCATAAAAATAATTAATTAGAAGAGGCCAGGCGTGGTGGCTCACGCCTGTAATCCAAGCACTTTGGAGGCCAAGGCAGGCAGATCACGTGAGGTCGGGAGTTCAAGACCAGCCTGACCAACATGGTGAAAGCCCGACTTTAAAAAATAATAATAATTAATTGAAAAGGGGCCGCAGAGGCTGGAGGGGGACAGGCCTGGGCGGGAGGGAACCGAGCGGCACAGGCAGCCAGCGAGCGAGCGCATGGCCACCCCAGGGTGCAGCACCCAGGCTCCCTCCTCCTCTCTCTCCTTGCCCTGTTGGCGCTCACCTCCGCGGTGGCCAAAAAGAAAGACAAGGTGCAGAAGGGCGGCCCAGGGAGCGAGTGCGCCGAGGACTGGGCCTGGGGGCCCTGCACCCCCAGCAGAAAGGATTGCGGCGTGTGTTTCCGCGAGGGCAGCAGCGGGGCCCAGATCCAGCACATCCGGTGCAGGATCCCCTGCAACTGGAAGGAGGAGTTTGGAGCCGACTGCAAGTATAAGTTTGAGAACTGGGGTGCGTGTGATGGGGACACCAGCGCCAAAGTCCGCCAGGGCACCCTGAAGAAGGCGGGCTACAATCCCACTGCCAGGAGACCATCCACGTGACCAAGCCCTGCACCCCCAAGACCAAAGCCAAGGCCATGGCCAAGAAAGGGAAGGGAAAGGACTAGAGGCCAAGACTGGATGCCAAGGAGCCCCTAGTGTTACCAGGGGCCCGGCCCACGCCCTCCCTCTCCCTGGCCCGAGATATGACCCGCCAGTGCCTTCTGTCTGCTTGTCAGCTTTAATCAATCATGCCCTGCCTTGTCCCTCTCAGTCCCCAGCCCCACCCCTACATACCGAAAGTGGGGAGGGACAAGGGATTCTGGGAAGCCTGAGCATCCCCCAAAGCAATGTGAGTCCCAGAGCCCACTTTGTTCTTCCCCACGATTCCATTACTTTTTTTTTTTTTTGAGACGGAGTTTCGCTCTTGTTACCCAGGCTGGAGTGCAATGGCGCGATCTCGGCTCACCGCAACCTCCGCCTC